TTGGCAACAGTCATCCAAGCTGCAGTCAACATTATGGCTTGGACTCTCACTGTTTTTCCCCAAATCCATTGATAACAGCTTACCTCCCTGAGAATTTGTCAGGATTACCCTATATCAATGGACACTCAACTTTCTTGTCCACTAATGCTGTTAGCTCTGAATATCGTTTGAAGACCAATCATTGCCAATTCTATATATGGCCCCTGGTCTAGAGACAGGGCTCTATCAGTGAATCTCGACCTTCCACCTAGTCAACTCATAACCAAAGGCTCAAAGACAACTCACGGTGAGCTGTAAGCTCTGTTTTTATTACATCTCTTAACAGGAGAAGTTTGTCTTTCTCTCTTTTTGGATAGGAGTCCATTTTACTTTTAGGACTCTCTCCTTTTTCTTTTCCTTATTGAGAGGTGATGACTAAAATCTTTTATCCTTTGGCAATCGATTCCATAACTGTACCAGGTTGGCGTTAGGTTGTTCATCTGTTTTCTTTTTTACCCACTCCTGCTGCTATTAAGTTCACCCACATCTGTTTATGGGAGTATCAAAGTGGTCCTTCTGGGTTTGGCTGAGTTTTACAGACTCCCCCTTTTTTTTTTCCTGCAATCTGTCTCCCGCTAGGTCTGCTATCAGTTGCACTGCTTGCTGGAGGCACTGACCTACTAATGGGGATAATAGTGACAGGGCAGCATGTTATACATGGCATCCCTCATTCCATCAGTGAAAGTCACACTGTCCAGTCCTGGGAAAGGCTGCACATAAATACAGTGTTTCATCCCCAGCTCCTGCGAATAGCTCTGTAGTTCTTCCATAGAGCCCCAGGGGCCTCTGGGTGTAGGAATATGGCCATATATTGCAAGTGACAAGAAGCAGTCATGTTAGTAATGGCCCCACACTTTCAAAAGTGGCATTGACCTGAAGCCATTTTAGAGAATTCTAAATCATTCAATGTTATCCCATCTGCTCCAGTGTCCTACAAGTAGAGCAGCCATGAAGGCACACCTTCATTTTCTTTTTTTTTTAATATGTATTTTTTTAGTTGTAGGTGAACATAATACCTTTATTTTATTTATTTTTTATGTGGTGCTGAGGATCAAACCCAGTGCCTAACACATGCTAGGCAAGTGCTCCACCATTGAGCCACAGCCATAGCCCAGGCACACTTTCATCTTCTGCCTGAACTTGGATCCCAATTCCACCAGCTCCATGGTGAGAATCTGGTCTAAGGATGATATGTAAGTATCTCTGGACTGACGAGCAAATCTGCATCTGCCCCTTCAGGTAGCTCCTGCCAGGTCTTTAATTTTTGGACCATTGCTTGTCTAGTTTCTATTATATCTTCACCCTTCATCTCACTTTCTGAGTCACTGGAGCTAGTGAACTCCCTGAGTGGACCCCATATTTGCAGATCCCAGTTTTCACTAGTCACCATCTTCCTAATACAGTTTCTGGGCTTACGATGTCCCCTTAATTTAGAACAATAGCATGTCATGACCTGACCTACAGATGCTTCCCTGCAAGTTTTTTTTTTTTTTGATACCAGAGATTGAACCTAGGGTTGTTTAATTGCTGAGCCACATCCACAGGGTCCCCCCCACTTTTTTTTTTAATTGAGAGAGGGTCTTGTGAAGTTGCCTAGGGCCTCTCCAAGTTGCTGAGGCTAGATCTTGAATTTGCCATCCTCCTGCCTCAGCCTCCCATGTTTCTGGGATTACAGGTGTGCACCACCACAACCGGTGCTTCTCTGCAAGTTCTAAGTGCTGTGATAGCACATTCTTGTCACCCTGTGCTAAATGGGTCTCTTTCTGGTTTTAATTTTTCCTGTACTCTATGGAGTTGAGCCTGAGTAGCTACTTCCTGGTCTGTGGCCAACTCTAATGGACACAGCAGGGGCCATGCCACTTATATCACAACATAACTTTCTTTCCTTTCACTCTCCTATTAGTACTTTGGATGTTATTTCCTTTCACTGACATTTTCAGTGTGCCTCTGTACTCATGTGGTGGTCCCCATCCCTCCAGTAGCAGTGCCACTTCCAACCACATCAAGGCTTGTGGCCAGTTCAGGATTCCCCCCATAGACCCCATGTCCTTTCCTAACTCTGGAGTCAACTCAACATGTCCCCCTTTTTGGACTCTGCCAATTGTTTAGCCCCAAGGCAGTGAATCCCCCAGCTTACTATTTACTGATCCCAAAGAAAGACTCAACAGAGAGGGTTTGCACATTTTATTACTTACATACTCCTTGGTGATGGCAGGCCAGGATACAATGGAGGCCCTATGAGCAGGGCTGGTGAAGGGGAATATACAGGATATGTTGCATGCCCATTGTGTAGGTGAATTTTTCAGCTGTTTTATGAGTGCATGCTTTTATTTTATCATTATTATTTTTTTTTGGGTACCAGGGATTGAACCCAGGGATGCTTAACCACTAAGCTACATCTCAGGCCTTTTTATATTTTATTTAGAGTCAGGGTTTCACTAAGTTGCTTAGGGCCTCGCTAAGTTGCTAAGGCTGGCTTTGAACTCATAATCCTCCTGCCTCAGACTCCCGAGCTGCTGGGATTACAGGCATGAGCACTGCACCCTGTGCATACTTTTATTTTACAAAAAAGGTCACTCTGCTTTGATTCTCACCTAAAGTTTGGAGGTAAGGAAAGTGGACACTCCCCTCTCAATTTCCTTCATTATCACATTTTTTAATAGAGTCTTTCCTATCCCACTGCAAGCTTTCCTAGGCAGCGATTAGGATTATCAACAGACTAATAATATTTTGTTCAGCAGTGTGACCTCTAAAATTAATGATTTTTAAAGTTTACTAAAAAGCTAATGAAGCACCACTCTAGAAAGCAGTATGGAGATTCCTCAGAAAACTTTGAATGGAAGCACCATTTGACCCAGTTATCCCACTCCTCCACATATACCCAAAGGACTTGAAATCAGTATACTACAGTGACACAGCCAAATCAATGTTCATAATAGCTCAATTCACAATAGCTAAGCTATGGAGCCAACCTAGGTGCCCTTCAATAGATGAATGAATAAAGAAAATGTGGTTATATATACACAATGGAATATTACTCAGCCATAAAGAAGAATGAAATTATGGCATTTGCCAGTAAATAGATGAAACTGGAGGCTATCATGCTAAGTGAAATAAGCCAATCCCAAAAAACCAAAGGTCAAATATTCTCTCTGATATGCAAATGCTAACTCACAATGGTGGGGAGGGGAAGTTCACCAGATTGGACAGAGGGGGAATGGGGAAGGGAGGGAGGGTGGGAAAGGAAAAGACAGTAGAATGAATTGGTCAAAACTTTCCTATGTTCATATATGAATACACAATAGTGTAACTCCATATCATGTACAACCACAAGAAAAGGAAGCTATACTCCATGTATGTGTGATATGTCAAAATACAGTCTACTGTCATGTATAACTAAAAAGAATAAATAAAATACTTGGGGAAAAAAATAAAGCTACAGGGTTTTTTAGGTTTTTTCTTTGATTACAATTGCACACCAGCATGCATAAGTAACTCAATATCCGTTGATTCCATTGATCTATATTTTATTGCCCTTCAGTATATGTGCATTTAAGGTTTTGTCTGTTTGTTTTTGGTTGGTGTTGTTCTGGGATAGAATCCAGGGTCTCATGATTGCTAAGCAAGAGCTCTATCACTGAGCTCCAACCTCAGCCCCAATTATTTATTTATTTATATTGGGGATTGAATCTAGGGGCACTGAGCTACATTCCTAGTCATTTTTAATTTTTGAGACAGGGTCTCAATAAATTGCTAAATTGTTGAGGCTGGCCTCAAATTTGTGATCCTCCTGCCTCAGCCTACCAAGTTGCTGGGATTACAGGTGTGCACCACTGTGCCGGACCAGCCCTAATATTTTAATTGCAATTGAAAGCTAGCTTTTCTGTTGGATTCTGAAGACTTTTGAATTAGATCACTTAATTAGTATTTCTCAAAAAAATGATCTCTGGAGTAATTGAATTAGAATCTCTGGGGATAAAACTCTAGGAAACTCATGTTTCTGATGTCACCTAAAGCTGGAATATCATTTTTGGGGGGCAGTTAAAGGGCCAGAAAAGAGAAGACATAACATCAGTAGAACGAATTGATCCTGGCTCATTAAGGCTGATAACTGTGCTGGGTCTATGATAAGGCAGTGAGGGGGTGGACTGTCGCAGAAAGACGTAGGTTTGATTCACAGTGTAGGTTTGATTCACAGTGAAGAGGACTGACGTGGTCTTAGCTCACGACCTCATTGAGCTTTGCACATCAACCAGGCTCCCTCTTCCACTTCCGGTTAACTCTTTGTTGGCTATCATTTTCCCAGCTGGGCTTTCCCTGTCCACCCACCAACAACCCTTGCTTCATTTTTTTTCACAGCAGCACCTTATCATCCTCTAATAGAGCATTTTACTTATTGTCTTCCCACTACAAATACAGTTCCATGAACACTGAAAGACCATGTCAAAAGATACTCAATAATCTATAAATTGTATAAAAATAATTCTACCTTTATGAATATTAAATGAATTTAAAGAGCTTGCAACAGTGTCTAGGCAAATGCTGATTACTATTCATCTAGGATCCTTCCGGGGAGAGAGTTAGAGGGTTCTTGAAGAATTTTTGGTAGATTTTTACTGTTGATCAGTCGTTTTTTTCCCGCACTTTTCTCCTCTCCTCGAGGGTCGCTCTTCTCGAGGAATTCGCGGCTCCTCAACAATCAAAACCAAGTCTGATTCTTCAGAGGTTTAACAGGACAAACAGGAGCAGACTAGCCCTGACTTTGGGAGCTTTCTTCCCTTCCTCTCTTCACTCCCCAAAGCCAGCTCTTCTCGCCACATTATTCTACCAACGAAACAAAACAGGGAGGACAGCGCCTAGGAAAGAAGCGGGTGTGTACAGGGGTAAACGCTTCTTTCTCCGCGCAGGCGCGTTCCGTCGCAGGACCTCGACTATCGCGATAGAGGAGCGAGATCGACGCGGGCCCTTTAACAGCCCCTTCCCGGCGGCCTGCCCCGCGCGTGCGCCCTGCGGTTCTGCGCTTGTCATCATGGCGACGCGGGGCCATGTGCAGGACCCTAACGACAGGCGCCTCCGGCCCATTTACGGTGAGTGTCTGGGGCCAGCCTGGGCGCCAACCCAGCAAGCCGAGGGCGCCCGAGGGTGGGGGGAAGACTCAGGAGGGGCGCGGAGGGACCGCGCGGGGCGGACGGGCGCGGGGGGCGGCCGCGCGGGCCACTAGGCCGCAGCCGCCGGCCTCGCGTAGTCGCCGGCCCAGCCTTCCTGAGCCCTACGATGGAAGCGGCGTGCTCCGGGTAGCGGCTGGTCAGCAGAGCCGGTCTGACAGGCAGGCCCGGTAGGAAGAATCCTGCTTAGAGAACAGAGTTGCTCTGCGGCTGCGTTATTACGGTCTCTCGGAGAGAGACCCGAAAGTCTCCTTGCAAGTGGAAACCGGCTCCACCATGAGGGTGGTAGAGCTCCCCCCCCCCCCGGGGGATAATACCCCTCCAGTTTGTTTGTTTATTTAATTTAAGGGAATTGGACCTACGGGTTTATTGGACTAAGTGGGTTTCAGTGCACGTGGACAAAAACTGAGGGCCAGAGAAGGGCAGGGACTGAGACAAGGTCACCCAGATGCAGGCCCAGGCCCAATATCCCAGACTCCCAGTCCAGAGCTGTTTGGTAGAGAAACAGCTGCTCTGGGCACACGTGGGAGGCGGGGGAAGGGGGTCTTGGGGCCTAAAATAGCAGCGAAGAGGCAGCAATGGTTCGTGTCAGAGGGGCCCGCCGGGCTGCTGGCGTGCTTTTCCTTTCTGTATCTGCCTGTGGTTTTCTCTGTATCTTGCCTTCCGCGTTTTATGTGATTCTGACTTCACAACGCTTACCTCAACACGCAGGCTCTAAGGTAGACGTCGATGTCCTCTTACTACCCTGATATTGGAAAATCAAAGAATTGAGAAACAGTATCTGAGATGTTCTCTCATTGGACAGTTGTTCCTTTTGCATTTCCTTTCCTCTTAGATGTTGTATGGTCCTGGTCTATCTCAGTTAATGGTGAGGAAGCTTCAAGGTCAGTGGTTTTTGCGAAAGTAGTCTTCCTGGTTATAGTGGGATTTTTTATCAAATAGAGGCTTCTCTGCATGACTTAGGTCCATTTAGGTTTTTGTTTTGTTTGGGGGGGGCAGTTAACTATGTTTCTGGCACAATTGGTTCTGCTTTTATTGCATAATTTGTAAAATGCTTTACTCTCACTACTCATCTGATTCTATCAACAACTACGCTGTGAGATGGGTAATTATTATAGCTAAAGTGTATACACCACTAATAATATCGGTCATTGTCCTTGGTCTTTTATGTGGTATATCTCATTTAATCTTAACACATTCTCTTTAAAAAAATTGTTTTTTAAAAAACAGATGAGAAAACTGAAGCTTTCTTGATGTTGTGTAATTTGATATAGTCACTCAGCTAGTATTTCTTGGAGCTAGGATTTGAACGCCAGAAATTCCCTCATTCTGAATTGAAGACAGATTTGCCTAAGGTCACACAGGTGGGGAAAGGCTGGGATGCGTCTCTGATTTACATTTCCCCATTACAGCGTATTCACACATGCTCTTACTCTTGTAGAATATATTTTAGAGGGCAGAGCTGATACATACAGGGTGGGGTCATGATTTGACTCATTACATCTTTGTGAAACAGCTGCCTGCCACTGTGTGTGTGTGTGTGTGTGTGTGTGTGTGTCTCGAGCGCGCCCGCCATGGATTGAACCCATGGGACCTTTGCTATTGAGCCACATCTGCAGCCCTTTTGTTTTTAATTCTGAGACAGGGTCTTGCTAAGTTGCTTAGGGCCTTGCTTAGTTGCAGAGGCTGGCTTTGAAGTTGTGATCCTCTTGCTTCAGCCTCCTCAGCTGCTGGGAATACAGGCATGTGCCACTACACCTGACCCTTTTTTTTTTTTTTTTTTTTAACTATAAAAACCTAATACTTGGTCTGGGGCTGTAGCTCAGTGGTAGAGCTCTTGTCTAGCACATGTGAGGTACTGGATTCAATCCTCAGCACCACATAGAAGAGACTGAGGCAGGAGGATTCCAAAGTTTGTGTCCATCTACAACTAAAAAAAAAAAAAAAAACAAACAATACTTTTCACAATAATTGGATTTTTAAAATTGTTCTTGAGGACAAAGAGAAGGACTTTGATCCCTTATTTATTTGGAATTAATAGCGTTTTTGAACTGTCCATAAAACAAAACAAACAGACAAAAAAAAAAACAACAACCCACCAGTTCATGTTGTTAAACACCAGGATATGCTAACCAGAAGTGACATCCATATTCTCAAAACTGAAGTCAGAATTATATAGCTTTGTTATAGCTGAATGGAAAGAGGACTAGAAGAGACTTTCTTTAGGAATTCTAAGGTGATTGATACAAATTGGCAGGTATAGGAAAAGAGAGAGTACAGCCTATCTTTTTTTAAAAATATATATTTTTAGTTGTCAATAGACCTTTATTGTATTTATTTATATTCAGTGCTGAAAATCAAACCCAGAGTCTCACACATGCTAGGCAAGCACCACAACCCCAGTCCCTGTCCTTGTCTACACATTTTTACTTTTGAATTCCAGACTTTTGATTAAGTACATTAATACTCCTAAACAACTGTTAATCCTTGAATTCACACATTGTAGAGGCTAGCCTTGAACTCATATCCTTCTTCTTCAGTCTCTGGAGTTGCTGGAATTGCAGGTGTGCCCCATCACATCAGGCAGGACATGTTTTTTTGTTTTTTTGTAATTTATAAAATTCATTGAAAAGTTTCTAAAAAAAAAAAAAAATTTACCTTACTAGCTGGTAGCCATCATCAGTCATTTTCAGTCATGGCTCTTTGAATTCCTTTTGTGGTTATTTTGTATCATCTTTGTTGCTCTCCCCTCAATACAGGATCAAACTCGGGGTCTCCAAAGCATGTGTTCTACCATTGTCAATTCATATCTTATAAATGTATGCATCTCTCATTATCCTGATAGACTACCCAGTAGGTTTTTTTTTTTTTTTTAAAGAAATTTAATTTTTTTTTTTTTTTTTAGTTTTCAGTGGACACAACATCTTTTTTTTTTAATATTTATTTATTTTAAGTTTTCGGCAGACACAATATCTTTGTTTGTATGTGGTGCTGAGGATCGAACCCGGGTCGCACGCATGCCTGGCAAGTGTGCTACCGCTTGAGCCACGTCCCCAGCCCCCTGGACACAACATCTTTGTGCTGAGGATCGAACCCAGGGCTCCGCACATGCCAGGGGAGCACGCTACCACTTGAGCTACATCCCCAGCCCAGGTTTTTTTTTTTTTTTTAAATAGTCTTGTTCATTTTTATATTTCTTCCTTTCTTCATTCACCATATTTACCAGGGACCTGGTATATGTTAGGCACAAGACATGTAGGGAATGAATACTAATTAGTACAGAAATGGTTTTTGCTTTTAAGGATAGTCTCAACAAAATTTTTTAAATGACAGTATACAAAACCACTGCATTTGTGCTAAAGGCTTTGACATTTGTGCTGTCATAGCTTGCCATGACAGCATACACCATGGGCATCTGGGCCGTTGGGGGCAGGTCAAGGAAAAGTCCCTGTGGGGCTAGGGATATGGCTCAGTTGTTAAGAGTGCTTGCCTCGCATGTACAAGGTCCTGGATTCAATCCCCAGCACCACCAAAAAAAAAAAAGAAGAAGAAAATGTCCCTGTGGAAGTCTTGTTTTACTTTGGATCTGAAAAAAGATCAAGGATTAGAAGAAATGGATGGGGTGGCCATGATGAAGACCCTGAGAAAGGGAATTTGATTCACTTGAGGACCAAAGCAGAGGCTTGTACAATTGGAATGTAGAGATGTATAAGAGGAAGTGACTTAGAGCAGCAAAGGTAGGCAGGAACTCAGCTTTGTAAGCCATTTTAAGTATGTTGAAATGTGTAAAATTTGTGTTTGTGGTAAAAACAAAGCTCCTATTCTCCAACATTTAGGATTATTTGTTTATTTTCATGATGCTGAGGATTGAACCCAGGACCTCATGCATGCCAGGCAAGCACTCAACCAATTCACATCCCAGCCCAACATTTAGGATTTTTAAGTAAAAGATGTTGTAATTTAAAGATGGAGCTATCTTGTATTTATGTTTTGCTAAGTTGATGCATTTGCCTTAGTAGTCTCTGTAGCTTTTGTAGGATGCCAGAATAATGTAGATTATTTCAGGTGCTATGGTTCATGGCAGCCACCTGAACATGCAATTTAAAACCTTTCCAGCTGTGCATAGTGGTGCATGGCTGTAATCCAGCTACTCTGGAGACTGAGGCAGGAGGATTCCAAAGTTTGAGACCAACCTGGGCAATTTATCAAGATTCTGCCAAAATAAAGAGGACTGAAGATGTAGCTCAGTTCTGGGATGGGGTTGGGACTTTCCTTTTTAATTTGCAAGACAATTAATACCTTTCCTATTCTTAATATCTATAAGTGTTTAGAGAAATAAACCCAGGGCTTCTCCTGTAGGGCAAGTAGGCCTGCATGCTTCAGAGGAGCTTCTGTTAGGAAACGTTACCCCATGAGTGCAGATTGTAAAATCATTCAGCAAACTCTGATAATCTGTTGCCAATGATTTAATTTGAAGTTTCCCAAATTTCTATCATTCCTTTAGCTCAATATGAAGATTTAAAGAAAATTTTTTTTCTTAGTTGTCAATGGACCTTTATTGTATTTATTTATATGTGGTGCAAGAATTGAACCCAGTGCCTCACAGATGCTAGGCAAGCATTCTACCACTGTGCTATAACCCCAGCCCTCATTATGAAGATTTTAGCTATATTATAGTATTATTTTTAAAATATTTTTTTCTAGTTGTAAATATGGACACAATACTTTATTTTACTTATTTTTTTTTAAATGTACTGAGGTTCGAACCCAGTGCTTTACACATGCTAGGCAAGTGTTCTCTCGAGCCACAATCCCAGTCCCTTATATATTATTATTTTTTAAATGTTGTTTTAGTTGTAGGTGGACACAATACACAATACCTTTATTTATTTATTTATTTTTTAATATGGTGCTGAGGATCA